CTCTCTCTCTCTCTCTCTCTCTCTCTCTCTCTCTCTCTCTCTCTCTCTCTCTCTCTCTCTCTCTCTCTCTCTCTCTTATCCTCTCTTTCTGTCTCTTCTTTCTCTCTCTCTCTCTTCTCTTCTCCTCTCTCTCTCTCTCTCTCTCTCTCTCTCTCTCTCTCTCTCTCTCTCACTCACTCTCTCTCACTCTCTCTCTCTCTCTCTCTCTCTCTCTCTCTCTCTCTCTCTCTCTCTCTCTCTCTCCGTCTCTCTCTTCTCTTCTCTTCTCTTCTCTCTCTTTTTCTTTCTCTCTCACCCTCTCTCTCTCTCTTCTCTTCTCTCCCTCTCACCCTCTCTTGCTCTTCCTCCCCCCCCTCCTTGACTGAACCTAATACTGCATCGAAAACGTAGCCTTTAATCTCCATATAATTAACAAAAGGGAATATTGTATATTGTTTCATCAGAGAGAGAGAGAGGTATGTTTAGCTCATCAAAGTTGCATAGTGATAATGTTAACAAAGATAATGATAATAGTGACAAAAGTGCTAATATTGATGCTAATAATGATAGTGATAATTGTCATAATTATAATAATGACAGAAAGGTAATGACTAATTCACTAATAATGATGAAGATGATGATAACAATGATAACTATAACAATAACAATGGTAATGATAGTAATGACGATGATAATAATGATAACAAAAATGACAATTATCATAACCATAACAATAACAACAAAACAACAGTAATTATGATAACAATGGCAATAACAAAGAAGAGGTACTTCTCTCACCCTCTTTCGCTATCCTCTTTCTACAATTTACCTCTCCCTCTCCCTCTCCCCTTCTCTCTCCCTCTATCTTTCCCTTTCCCTCTATCTTTCCCTGTCCCTGCCACCCTTTCGCACATCCTTAGCTTTTTTTAAACTCACCCCCCCCACTTTAAACCCTACATCTGACCTCCCACTTCCTTCCTCTTCTTTAAATTTCCTCACCGTCTTCTCTCCCTTATTCCCTTTCTTTCTCTCTTCCATCCCTCCTTCTTCTCTGAACGTACTATCCCTTTCCCCTTACTCATCCCCTTTTCTTTTTTAAGTCCCCTCTGTTTCCCCTCTGTTTCGTCTCCCTCCATCTCTCTTTTCTCTTTGAGCCCCCTTCCCCTCTCTTCCTTTCCCCTTTCCCTCCTACCTTTCTTCCCCTTGCCCTCTCTTCCTTTCCCCTTCTTCTCTCTTCCTTTCCCCTTCCCCTCCTGCCTTCTTTCCCCTTCTCCTCTCTTCCTTTCCCCTTCCTCTCTTCTAATTTCCCCTTCCCCTCTCTTCCTTTCCCCTTCTTCTCTCTTCCTTTCCCCTTCCCCTCCTGCCTTCTTTCCCCTTCTCCTCTCTTCCTTTCCCCTTCCTCTCTTCTAATTTCCCCTTCCCCTCTCTTCCTTTCCCCTTCTTCTCTCTTCCTTTCCCCTTCCCCTCCTACCTTCTTTCCCCTTCTCCTCTCTTCCTTTCCCCTTCCCCTCTCTTCCTTCCCCCTTTCCTTCCTACCTTCTTTCCCCTTCCCCTCCTTCCTTCTTTCCCCTTCCCCTCTCTTCCTTTCCCCTCCCCCTCCTTCCTTCTTTCCCCTTCCCCTCTCTTCCTTTCCCCTCCCCCTCCTGCCTTCTTTCCCCTTCCCCTCTCTTCCTTTCCCTTTCCCCTTCCCCTCTCTTCCTTTCCCTTTCCCCTTCCCCTCTCTTCCTTTCCCTTTCCCCTTCCCCTCTCTTCCTTTCCCTTTCCCCTTCCCCTCTCTTCCTTTCCCTTTCCCCTTCCCCTCTCTTCCTTTCCCTTTCCCCTTCCCCTCTCTTCCTTTCCCTTTCCCCTTCCCCTCTCTTTCCCTTCCCTTTCCCCTTCCCTTCTCTTCCTTTCCCTTTCCCCTTCCCCTCTCTTCCTTTCCCTTTCCCCTTCCCCTCTCTTCCTTTCCCTTTCCCCTTCCCCTCTCTTCCTTTCCCTTTCCCCTTCCCCTCTCTTCCTTTCCCTTTCCCCTTCCCCTCTCTTCCTTTCCCCTTCCCCTCCTACCTTCCTTCCCCTTCCCCTCTCTTCCTTTCCCCTTCCCCTCTCTTCCTTTCCCCTTCCCCTCCTACCTTCTTTCCCCTTCTCCTCTCTTCCTTCCCCCTTTCCTTCCTACCTTCTTTCCCCTTCCCCTCTCTTCCTTTCCCCTTCCCCTCCTACCTTCTTTTTCAACCTCTCCCCTCGGAAAATCCTCCAAATTGTGCATAAACTAACGGTCTAACTATTTCAGTGAAGTGTACTTTCTTCGAGGAAGGATGTTAATAATAATGATAATGACAACAACAACGATAATGATAATAATGAAAATAATAAGAAGGATAACAACAGTGATAATAATAATGATAACAATAGAGTCAGAACAGGATTCTCTTAAGTTACTATTTTTGTTGTCAATTATATATTTTTTTACACCAAAAGGAAGTGACTTCAAGTCCTCAGACACATGGCATATGGTTCCAGGCATAAGATATGGAAATCGGCCGGG